GGACTGGCCCTGGTGTGAAAGGGCTATATATAGAGTCGAGTGTGGCTACTGCCAGTGGTTAGAACACAGGCAACTCAGGGAGGGTCACACCTGCTTTGGACACATCACAAGACCACCGCAGCCAGACTAACACTCACCAGGACGAATCTACAGGTACAGCAGTGAGGGGCAACTGTATCCAGGACCATTGCTCCCCAGCAGTTTCTTGAGCTCCAGGGTTTGAACTAATACCATCTAGATTAATTTCAGACAGCAGATTCCACCCTGGCACGGCTTTTAGGCTGGTTATAGGACAGCAGGGTGGCCCAAGTTATACACTGTGCTGGAACAGAGCACCACTGTGACTGTGGCGAAACTTGTCGATGAGTTTTTCAGTGGCTTTGGGGCACTTGAGGAGCTCTATAGCAACTAGGAAAGGAACTTTGAGGCTGTGGTCTTGATGGAGGTTTGCCAGCCACTGGGGATAGAGAAGACCTGTACGACTTCACTGCACCTGCAGAGTGACGGCCTCTTGGAGCGTTTCAGCTGAACACTCACTGCACATCTTGCCCTTCTCTACAGTAAGCACCAGTGAGACTTGGACCAGCATTTTCTGGTAGTCCTGTAGGACAGCAGAGTTCACACTGGTATTGCTGATGTTAGGCTGCAAACTCCATACCTCAGTCAAGCCAGTGTTTGGCAAGCTTCCGGGAGCAAGCTGAGATCCACTCCGCAGTACGTATGGGACTTGTGATATTACCTGGGGAGCGTGCAAGTGCTAACCCGGGGGGATCTGGCAGCAGTGAGGATTTGGCAGAAGCAGGTCTGCAACTTGCATTGTCAGGGAGCTCCCTTGAAGACGAGGACTAGAGTCTGGATGTACAATCCTTGCTGGTGAAAAGGAGTATCACTAAAGCTATGAGGTAATTGGCAGGGGTCTTGTGATGTGCTTCGGCCACCTGGATATACAGTATAGGTTTGGCTGGAGCCAGGGACCCGCACTGTCATGGTGCACCAGGACCGCCAGGCTGCATATCGCCCAAAGACCACACAGGCCTCAACCTCTTCAGCATCATCCACTCCCGAGCAGCTCAACTTCCCTGAAACCTACCGGGAGGCTTCATCGTCTCCCACATCACTTGTGGGACATCACTCTTAGTGATTCTGTGGGACTTGTGCTGGACTTAGGTGGGCAGGGTCTGTGTAATAACTCGGGACAGTACTGGTACCGTGCTTTCGGCTCCAGATCGGGTGAACTTCGCCCGGATTGTAAATTATGTAAATATCATGTGTGAATTTGCATTCCCGATTATCTACCGGCCTGCTTGTGTATTAGCTTAATATTGTTAGTTCCATCCATTAATGTAGCGATTACATTGTGTTGCGCTTGTGTAACATGTTACATAACCCTTGTGTCTCTCACTGCCCCAAATATCCAGCCATGATGTGTTGTTGTGCCAGTCCCCTGTATTTCCCTCATTTGGTGTGGTTGTGAAAGTGTCTTCACTGCTTGAACCACGTGTAGCGTGGTTTTTCAGGACTGCACTGTTATTTCAAATCGCTTCCTGATTCCCTGCATCATGTTTGCAGGTGGGAGACGCCACATAGTGTTTTGTGTGTCATACTGTTTGTTGAGGGGCCCTTCCTGTTAATTTTTTTTTTCTTTTACAAATTACATTTTTATCATACTAATATAAAAATTTACTCTAAACATAATAATCATTATATTTCTCATTATTATAAATTCAATATTTACAATTTACAGTTTATTATTTTTATTATGTAATAGACTTTATATTTTCCCCACTTCCTGCCCCCCCAGCTGTGAGATTCCTGCTCTGTTTCAGAAGGATGCCTGTTTAAGTCATGTCAGGGTCATGTTTTGGGGGGGGTGTGTAGTGATCTTTCCGCTGGGCCCCTGTGAAACAGCCTTAATTACTCCAATGACCCTGCTTCCTTAATTGTATGCCATTCTAGATAAAAGCATATGCTAAATAAATAAATGTAAAACTTAGAAAACAAGGTTGAAGTAATCAGCAATTACCATATTAACAGCCATAAATCTGAATTTAATTCATAATTGATAATATAATGCTTATATATGCTTTGTGAAAGTTAATCTGCTTGCTTCTACTTTACTTTCCAAAGACATTTTAGCCATTTTAATAAGATTCTTGTGAACTCAACCATGTTGACACCTACATTTGTAATGCAAAGTTATCTCAGCAAGCGGCACTGTACGCTCTGACCTCAAACCTGTAACTCTAGGAACCTGTGTTGGCATGTTTTGAATTCTGTCCCCGGGTGCATGGCTTTCCTTTTGGCACAGGGGCGATTTCCTGCTGATAAGCCTTAATTAAGGGCCCCAGATTTCCCTTCTCCACGTGGATCATTTATAACACTGGGTTTTCAACATTTTCAATCACACACACACACACACACATATAAGTGAAGTAATAAGACTACATGAAGGCAAACTGTTACCTCGCGCGGCAAATACATTATTTCAGTGGTCAGATATGCTCATCTGTTTGAATTGCTTCATTAGTTACGTTTCAGTAAAATCAAAAAAGGCTAATTATTCTCATAGGAAATAAAATTTGGACCAGGCTAATTCACAGACAGTTTTTATTTGTTAAAACAGATAGCTCTTGTTGAAGCAAACACGTACTGGTACACAAGAAAAGTTCGACCCCTCTGACAAGTCGGTATATCATCGGAATATTTTGCTTGTTAGAACTTGAAATAAAAGAGGAGAACAAAGACATTGAGTGGAGGAATGTTGACCTTGGCCTTTTTGCCCTCCTTTGCTTCAAAAGAGAAGACCTTCTCACGACAATTACTATGTAACAGCACACATACCGAAAGACTGGGATCTATTCAAAACCACACTGGACTGAATGGAAATATACTACGAATCATGTGCCTGTGGACATATATATATTTTTAAATCTCACTGCTGGGTCATGACTTCATGCATACATTTTCCAAAGCCTGAAAATTCATTAATCGACACTGCAATGTCAGAAAAACTAAATAAATGACACAATGAAAATCTACTTTATAGCCCTCAACAGTTACTTTAGAAATGGCATAATATATATTTTTAATACTATTCGTGACAGAATACGGTATCAAGACAAACTGAAACAGATTTGGTCAAAAGATATGTCAATGTTTATATTTGTTAACAATCAATGAAAATGCGTTGCCTTTTCTAAAGAGGGAAAACTAATTATATACCTCTCTCAATATGTGCAAATGGTATTTTGATGTGTACTACAATCAATATTTCTTCACACAGGTATTATTGGATTTAAGGTGGCAATTGACCTGTTAAATTCTATTTCTATGGAATCATCTAAAGGATATTGAGAGATAATCTGATACACGAAGCTATTTGACTTCATGTGTGGTTAGTAAAGTTTATTGAGCTGTCATATAGCATAATGCGTAGAACAGGATGTGTTAATAAGACACCGTCCATCTTTGGTTTCATTCAATCCAATTTCTCCAACGTCTCCTCCATATAAAGATTGCTTTGAATTATTTATTATCTCTCATTTAAATATTATATTTTGACACAGAAAATGCTCACAAAGAACAAAAATTTGATGTACTCGACTAGCCTGACTATTGACTATTTAAATCCGGTTTAAGTTTGAAGAGCAGCTAGTTGAGCTGTGATTGATTACGGCTTCAGTGAACCCAAGCTGGCCACCATGGATATCAGAAGAGGCACAACTTTGCTACTTTGTCATTTTTCAGTGTATTTATATTCTTTAGGGACATCAAAATAGCATATGTTCGATTAAACATATGGAGTAGCATAAAATGCTACATTTTTCAGTATTACGAGATAGTTGGTTCATGTAATAGAATCATACAATCATAAATTATAATGCCGTTAACTGGAATCCTACTTTTAATTTTAATTGCCTACAGCAACAGATGGTTTCCTGTTGCTGTTCTGATTTGTGACTCTGGGCAAAGGGTGTGTAATTTTCTGCTCAGCACAACATTTTGGATCCACAAAGACAGTTTAAAGGACAAGTTACATTTATATAGTTGATAAAGAATTTCAGGGCATAACACAGAGTGATTTTCCAAGAAGAATAAAGTGCAGTCAGAAAATGGGAATACAAAGAAAAAGATTGTGAAATAAATAAATTTAAAAATAAAGATAACAATATGTGAGAAATAAGATCCATTCCTGTCAGTACCCCATTTTTTTTCAATCCATTGTTCATTAAATGAATCGGTGGGTAAATTCGGTGAAACTTTTACAGTAATAATCAGAAACAAGGGAAATCCACACAAGTTTATCCTTAAACGATAATACTGCAATAAAATAAATGGTAAACTGATTTATGTCTTGTTTATATGCATTTATTACCGTAAACTGTATGGCATGCAATTTAATTTATAATTTAAATTGTCTTAAAATATCTTACAATGATTCTTCCTTAAACCCCAGACATTTATGTTTGTTCAGTGTCAAATAAAAAACATAAACTGATCATACATTAAATTGTTAGTGGTTACATTTTTTCTGACAGTATTTAAACAGTTGTTATTTATTTATTTGTTTTGAACAACAGTCAAAGGTTATACACCCAAAAGAGGCATATTAGAAAGGGTCTGTTTTTTCCCATTAAAAAATAAATAAATAAATAAATAATAATAATAACAGCACTGTAGCTATGATAATGCGTGTACCACAGTGTGAAAAAATTTCTCAAAACAAAAAACATTCCATAGACGAAGCAAAACACATGGGCAAGCGATATCGTAAAAATCATAAAAGACAATTTCAACAAAAAAAATCTTGCCCAGAACAGATTTAGATCATTATACAAAACACAAACTCCTGTGAGCCATGACACTTGTTCTTAAAAACCCAGTGTAAATATATTATTTTTACAGGTTTCACAAAGTTTATGTTAAGATACTGGATTGATATTCAATATTTGATATTCCAGTACACCACAGGGATGGGTTGGGGGGGTGCGTGTGTGGGGGGGGAGTTGTTTAGTCTTCTTCCGTGCATCCCAGCAACTCGACCCGCAAGGTGATCCGCCCATACCACGACCACGGAAGAATCCGCAGGAAGCGGGCGTAGATGAGCGGCTCGATCACATTCTTTCTATGCGTCTCGTTGTCGAAGTTTCCTTGGAAAATCTGTGAAAGATAACAGGGCACAGAAGGTAAAACCAAAATGCAGAGAATTTGCATTTCTCAGACCCTAACCCAAAACCACACACAGGCTGATATGCTACACGATAAGAACAATGTAATCAGTTGAAATCCATTCACTAAAAACTGTTTTCCATGCAGAAATTCTCTTCTCTCTTTTGTTCTTTTTTTACAGAGCACAGCACATCAAACTTTCCTTCGTCAGCCATTTTTTCTTCTGTTTGTCCCAGTTTGCCGATGCAATTGCAGCCGGGGCTCTGAAGAGTGTGGAAATATGCAGGTACAGTACAGGAGCGTAAAAAATTCACACCAATGCAAACCAGCACCTCCCCCAGCACGACTCCTCGCAATATTTTACATAGTCTGCTGAATGTTGTTATAAACCTACATATATGCAACAATAGTTTTATACTGTAACATAAAGTAAATTAAGGACATCATCTTTTATTGACTGTTTTGTTTTGAGATTATGCCGGCTGAAAATGATTTTCCTTCACTTATTTTATTACTTAAGAAAAGTTCTATGAATGAGACCACTTTCTGACTGAAATGATAACTGAAAGGTGCGAAAGGATGTAATACTGTTTTCCCATCTCTGCTGTTAAAGACCATCAGGACAGTCATCAATATCTAATGGAAGGGGTTATGATAAACCAGAGAAGTGACAGAACTACTCACACACCAAAGTCATCCAGGATGGCAGAGCTAAGGAAGAAAACTCCCCTCATGCATTGTTAAAGGACATTTTTAAATCCATGGACTCACATCCTACAAAACAACATGTAATTCAACTGGGGCTTTGCAAGTCAGTCATGTGAAACATTTTAGAAACACTGACTTCCAGATTTTCACTTGTAGCCTGCAATATAGCTGAATATTTCAGGAATATCGGTATTAGAAAGAAGGAACAACATACGGAATCTTGGTATGTGTGGAATGCTACTGTAAATCTCATTTATAAATAAAATATATAAACCACGGTTAGAAAGGGCTTCACTCCCTTCACACTCAACAGCAAAGAAACATCTAGTTCTTGGTCTGTGGTTTGTCTTTGAAGTCAGAATGTTACTTGATTTTTGATTTATCTTCATTCCAGACGAAAAGATGTGTGGAGAAACACTATTTCACTACCCTGGACCCTGTTCTAAAGTTTACTTCAAGGAATACAATATTTTGACAGATTAAGGTTGATCTTATATAAAAAATGTATATACTGATATTTATATAACTGCTTTGGGGAATAATGCAAAACCTAAAATTTATGGTCAGACTAAAATAGTATATATTATATATATACATTTACACATATATACTTAACAAATATAAATGCTATATATATATATATATATATATATATATATATAAACACACACACACAGACAAAATCCATCCATCCATCCATTTTCTGTAACCACTTATTCTATATATTGTTAGGTCTGGAAATATTATAATCGTTAGTATTTCTTTGATCGTGTTAATGCATGCAGAATTTTTTTGCCCAAATGGGTGAATAGTGGGAACATAATCCATAATTGAGACATACAACATTCCTTACTGGAGGAGGCCCCGGGGCAGACCCAGGCCTTGCTGGAGAGATTACATCTCTGGGCCGGCCCGGGAGCGCCTTGGGATTCCCCCGGAGGAGCTGGAGGAGGTGGCTGGTGAGAGGGAGGTCTGGGCATCCCTGCTTACACTGCGGCCCCCACGACCCGACCCCAGATAAGCGGTGAAAAATGGATGTATGGATGGTTTTACACAGCATGAAAGTTTAGGTTGTGATGTTGTACAGAAGCCCAGAATCTAGAGCTAGAATAAAAAAAATCAGCTAGCATCTCACGAAGAAGTTGATGTTTCATGGTTTGTTTAGTTTTTTTAAGAACTACTAGATGGAGGCATGCATAGGGTTAAAAAAATCGTAATTTGCAACATTTGCTTTATTTTTATTTGCTTCAAGACATTTTGCATTCTATGAATCTAACAGTGTGCAAACAAAGTAAATAAGATGGTTACAACCACAGCTTTCTGGAATTATTACCAATCCTGCAAGTGGGAACTCTATCAAACTTGAATGTTTTCTAAACTTGTTACAATCCACTGCTCTATTGGTGCTCATCTGGATGTGCTTTACACTCACCTGGGTGTATTTATATGCAAATTCTTTGGTTGTATGATAAAATCTGTTCCAACTTGGGTGTTCTTTAAAGTGAAACCTCAACACAGTATTTTATTTACTACGTGTTTTTTGTGATTTATCCTTTTTTGGGCTTATTTATGTTACCGTAGGCTTGGATGGATGGATGCATGCATTTATGCTAACTCCACCACTCTGCATACAGTTTAGATTTATAGTATTTGAGTATATAATGCTTTGGTTATTCTTCATGATTGTCTGTTGATCACATGCTAATCATTTACAATCCTCCTTTATAAAGCTGAATATTCTGCAGTAATTTGAACAGCTGTTTGAAAGCTAGGTAAATAGTTTTCATTTTATTTATTTGTGTTTTTAACACTGTATTATTGCTTTCTAATAGCTAGGCAATTGGGTTAGATTTTGCCTCATTGCAGCTTCAAGGCCAGTTCTTTGAGCAGTTCCGATTCTATCTGAAGTTTACTGTATATGCACTGGTTTTGGAGCACTTTCTGAATATCCTGCACAAAATCCAGCACCTGCTGCGTGTTTGCTTGCTCCCTTAACACGTTCTGTTCAGGTGAATCAGTGCCAGTTGGTGATTGAATGAAAGAGTCTTCCGGGATTGGTAGATGAGACTTGAGACTGGTTGGGTAAATGGTCACGGGAAATGTATGACTGCATGGTGTTCGACTAGAACGGTATCTGTTAATGAGATTGTTTTTGTTGCTCTTTATTTGTAGTCTTCAGACGCAAAATGATATTCTTGTATTGATGCCGCTCTGTTTTAACCTCCCTGCACTTCAGTGTAATAAAAACCACACAGTGTAGCCTGCGGCCCTCATTTGTACTTTTCAGTTGAAGCTTTGTAACAGAACAGATCACTGAATTTTCTTGTGTGTTTAAAAAACACATTAAATTAGACTGTACCCCCAGGTAGCACTTCTATCATAGCCAGTTAGCTTCTATCACTCTTTCCAGCAGTGATTTAGTGTAAAACTGACTGATGATCCTCGCAAAGACAGATGATCTACATGCAAGTGTGTGTGTGTCTGTGTCTTTCACCTCTACTCTGAATGAAATATAAAATCACTATGCGAGTCTACATACACACACACACACACACACACACACACACACACACACACACACACATGCACAAGGCATCATCCATTTTCTGCACCCGCTTGTCCTACACAAGGTTGTGGAGGTCTACTGCCTATCCCAGAAGGTATAGATGCAAGGTACGTAGCTTCCAGAGCCATGATGGAGACTCAAACCCCAGTCACAGAGGTGTGAGGCCACAGTGTGTGTGTGATTTCAATGAATAAAAAAAGGCTAATATAATTAGCATTTTATCATATTTTATTTGGAACTGTAAACAAAATCTAGTGTAGTCAAGTATGTCCCATAATTCAAGCAAAATAAAGTGCAATAAGGTAAAAAATAAAAACTTTGGATGGATGTAGATTAACATGGTGAATATCTTTTATTCTGATAAGTCTTCTCCAGACAAATACAAAAGTGTAACAAAAAGTATGTCCATAACTGTCATGACCTGCTCGTATGACCCTGTTCTGCGCCCCTCATTAACTTCGCGTGCAATCCTGATTGTTCCCAGCTGTTTCTTATTGTTTCGTCTAGTCCTGTGTATTTAAGTCCACGTCAGAGTCTTGAAATAAACCACCCCCCCTCCTCATTTGTTGGATTTCCGTCTGCCTGATCCTGATTCGTCGTTCCCTGCTCGCTCGCCCTACGCTGGGATATAACGATAACAAGTAAAATAAAGTGCAATAAAGTCAAATAAAAAACACTGCATGGACAGACATGTAGAATGAGGAAGATCAACATGACTGACTTCTGCGGTGAAACAAGTATGTCAGTATTCTTCTCTGAGAGGTTTTTTTAAAGAAAAATTAAATGGTCAACGTGTTCAGGAGATTGTGTGCTCTGAGCATAGCGTCCTATGTCACATGTCGTACTAAACACACGCTCTGAAGGTACGCTAGCTTGTGAGCTACTTATGAATGACCAAGTCAGAATGATCTACCTACTATAAAAATGTAAAACATATATTTATGTGTAAAAATATTGAGTATTCTTTGAGTATTATTACTATTATTATTATTAATTTCCCTTTGGGATAAATAAAGTTTTTTTGAATTGAACTGGGATTTTAAGTTCCTTCACCTTTCTATTTCTCAGCTTTTCGGAGGGAAGTTAATTTCGTAGTTTTTAACAATCTGAAAATGCCGCTCCACATTTCCCTTCTTCGGAATAGCAACGGTAGACTGACAGATGAGGCAAACGCACTTCAAATATGACATTGTGAAAAAAGTCCTCCTCCCATTCCGTATGGAAGTGGTAGGTTTTTGGCTTCTTACTTGGTCCAGCTCCCCCATTCATTTTTATACCCTTTCTTAAGTATAGTAGAAATAAATTGGAGGCTAACTAGGTGACTCGGTAGCTTGCTAGAGATTTGCAGCAGCTGGCGCGGTTGAACACGTCATCCAACCTCTATTTTTTATGCCATACGATCTACCCACACTACCTTTGCAATCGACCAGTAGACCGCGATCGACGTATTGGGCACCCCTGTAGACCATGTATATGTCGGAGTGGATCATGAAAACAATACTGTAACAGGCCAGAAAATAAAAACGCATGTATCGATATTTATGCGGTCACATCGATGCATCGGATCGTTTGCCGTTGAATCGATATATCGATACAAATCGATGTATTGTTACACCCCTAGTGTATATCATCAAGTACATAGCTACAGTATGCAGTCAAGTTTACAGACATTTGGGAAAGAATGGGTTGTTCTGAAGACCTCAATGAATTCAAGCGT